GAACCGGCAGCATGTTATATTAAATGTATGACCTTTTTATCATGTCTTAATGTGATCAAACGCAAAGATGATCTGTATTAAAGTTATAGGTATATCCCTTAGCTTTCTAATAAGGTAGGGTTAATACTTATAGGAGGTCTATAGTGTGAATTAGAGTCTAAATACTGAGGTGCTGTTGTGACATAAATTTGTTTCTGACAGATTTCATGAACCAAATATTTCATGCTTAAAGGCATTGAGAGCATTGTTATTTACCAATGTGATCTGAATAAAAGTTGTAGATATTTGAGTTAGCTTCTATGTGGTTTTTGAATCTCACTAAAAGCATGTTTGTAGCTTCATTTATCCTACAATTACTGAAGTCCTGTCAGCTGTATGATTTCAATTGTGGACTGCAACTCGGTTATGAATGTTTGTTGAATTATCTCTTGCCAAATGACCTTATTTGTTTTCAATGTCTTCATAAGAATTGTAGATGCATGTCTTAGGGTTAAAATGCAATTGAAATCATGACTATATGACAAGTGTGTTGTAAGTTATGTTGACTTTAAAATCGCTACGAGGGTTAGATTTTGAAAACTCTTGTTTTATTTTCGGAAATAGAGTTACTTTTTAAAACGTGTACTATTATAGCCTATATGAGCTGAGTTAGATTAAGTGAATGTTTCTTATATGTTTATATAGCTTAAGGAGAGTCGAGCCTCCGACAGCTACTTCAGTTTCAAGCACTTGAACAAATATTTTCAGTATACCAGGTGGGGGTCATGTACTGGGTTCCACATCATATATAATATTGGTACCATGGCAGAGGTATGTTCGAGACAATTAGTTTCTCCAGGTGGAGGCCGAGGGCCTTAATATCCCATCTGTAGACCCGGTGGAGGCCAAGGGCCTTAATATCCCATCGGTGTGTGCACACGAGCGGTCAAGGGCCGAGGGTCTTTTGACCATAGTAAAGCAAGAAAAGAAAGTTTACAGATTCAGCTCTTATATATTTATGTTCATGATATGATATTATAAATGTTGTTTTATTCAGTACTGGTCTTTGCGGAGCATAGTGGTTTGCTCACGCCCCCATTGTGTTTTTCAGGAGACGGAGTCGAGCGTGCCGGGTGATCATAGACGTGGCAAAGCGTGGTCATGAGAATTTTGGACATTTTTACGCACATTTTATGTCCTAGTATTTATGATCATGTATTTTCAGATATGTATGCATGTATTTATGTATTTCGGACGCTTCCGCTAGCAGACTAGACAGTGCGAGACAGTTCAGACATTGCATGTTTAATTCCATTATCTGTAGCGGATAGTTTGGTTGCGTGTTATATATGTCTGTGAGCAAGTTAAGTAAGTTTTTATCTGTTACATCCCGCAATCAGTTAGTATTTTCGAAAACCAAGCTCGCACGACCTTTCGAAAATAAAAGCAAAGATTTTACTCTGATTTTCAAAGCTAGTAAGGCGGGGTGTGACAGTGACTGCTTGAGTCGAGACCGTGATATCAAGAATACCTGTTGACGAGCCTAGAAAACTGAAGGAAGGACTGAAAAACGGACTAAAAACGTGCCCAAAATTTTTTGAGACTCGCGAGATGGTCACGACTAGCGAGTTTAACAGAGACTGACGGAGTGGTTCGCGAGCTCAAGTCACAACTCATAGATAAAGTCGCGACTCGCGAGATGAAGTCGCGACTTGCGAGTTAGGTCGCGACCAACCCAGAGCTTGAAGAAAATGACGACGCGCGACTCGTGACCGGGAAAAGTGATAAGTCGCGACTTAGCCTACGCGAATTTCGAGATGCAAGTTTTTACATCAGAATTTGGACCTAGAGATCATTATTCACTTCCAGACTTAGTTTTTATGCTTTTTCTCTCTAGAAAACGCATTCTTTTTCATTGCTTTTTCACTTTTGATTTGTTTTGGAGATTGATAAACTCCTTTTTCTCGCTTTGAATTTGGATGCACTTGGGTTTGACATAGGTTTTTACATTAATCGTAAGTTTATTTTCTTTACTGTTCTATTGATGATGATGGCTTGGGTTGATGTGATGTTTGATGTTAAATTCGTTATGAGTAGCTAAATCCATATGCTAGGGATAGGGATGATTGTTAGGTTCGATTATGATTGCTTGCTTTTGATTGTTTATATCTATGCGAGTGGTGTGAATTAAAGGGTTAGTTGATTGATCACCATTCTAACCTAGTTAATCAACGTGTAGAACCGAGAGGGGAGACGTTGGTTGGTTTAGGCTCGTTTAGAGTAGACTTGTTCGTCACAGTATTGTCTATGTGTTGTTGGAATTGATAGTTGATCGTTTACATTCACTCTCTTTTTAATAAGAGTTATTGAGAGTGAACCTTTGGATGAAAAATGATTCAAGTCCTTTAACCGAGCAATTGATTGCACGGTAGTTGTGTTAGAACCGAAAGAAATTATCCCCGATTCTCTAGCTCTTTAATCATTGAGTGAATTCGCATGTTATTTAAATTGCATTTTATTTAGTTGAAAATCGTTAGATGATAATTGAAACCCGGAAAATATTGAATTAGAGTGTTTAGGATTTTTGGTCTTCTCTTTTTCGTGATCGAATAACCGTACAATCGAATCCGGCTAACCTTCCTTGCGATACGACCCGGGGAACGAATCTTTCGCTTCTACTCCAATAAAAATACTCAAAACAAATAGCATCATAAAATATTTATTTAAATTTAAAAGAATATATATCCATGTAGTTGGGATCGTTGACCGTCCGTTCCTCTATTCAAGTTCGACTAGGTAAAGGGTCGTCACTCTTTCAAGTAATGAAGAATCTGCATGTTAGTCTGTGTAAGCGTTCTCTTTGTTGGTCTATTGTAGGCGTAAAAGAGAGTTGAAAGCATGATACATAATGATTTCGGGCACATGCTTTTCAAGCTCATGATCATTTTCGAAATGGTGAACAATTGTTTTATCTGTTTCATCTGCTAATTTTTCGTTTTCAATTACAAACAACTCCAACAACTGCAGGTGAGATTTTAATGAGTAGTATAGCCTAAAAAATATCTTACCATGTTAAATTCATGCTCTTTCAACTTAATTGTTATGTTTGTTAGACATGCTAATAGCCATTTAGGCACTTAATTGTTTGTTGCTGGGATTGTTGACCGTCATTTCCCATCTTCTGTTCAAGCTCAACCGAGGAAAGGGTGGTCAGCAGTCCTGGCTTCAAAGAATTAAGTTTCTCATTGCCAATTATCATGTTGGTACGTCAAAATCTCATAACCGGCTAAATCTCGCTCGAACTCCTCCTCGCCGGTAGAACGTCGAGTACCTACATAAACTCTCACACCGGAGGGATTTTCTACTGAAGAGCATCCGATGCTTAAGTCAATATCATTTCAAACTCAATTCTCAATAGTATAATGGATAAATCGTGTTGAAATCATAAAGCTCACCCCTATAAATAAGGGTGAGATACTTGTTGCCCAAGTGAGCTGAGGTGGCTGCCAAATTGTTGCTCGGCCTTCCCGATAGTACAACACATAGTGGAGGTGTGTCAGAGACGATTATGCGATATGAACCAATCAGACCGTGCCACAAGTCCTCTACACGTGGAGATTTGATTCCTCTGAGAACTCCTTGAAGACTCTTATGTTCAACCAAGTCTAGGTCAATCCGCTGACTGCTCCGAGTCTGAGCAGTGGTCGATCAGACGACCAATAGTGCAACATGTCGATCTTCGACCAAATCCTCCATGGATCTGGGACCAACATGTTTTCCATGTGCCTGAATCCCCTTTGAGTTGCCTTCCACTCGAAAGGCTCTTGCTCCTGTAACATTCGACCAGGGCTACTTTGTTCGTACTCCATTCGACCAGTGTGGCTTGTTCGGTTCATTCGATTGTCTTCTTGGACCGGTTCGCTTCTCTAGGTATAGTATGAATTAAGTGGATGGAATTGAGAGAGCATGAATTTAATATGGTAAAATATTTTTTTAGACAATACTCATTTACATCACACCCCCAATTGCTGGTATTGTTTATAATTGAAAATGAATAATTAATAAATGAAAATATAACAATTGTTTCCCAGTTTTGGAAAACAATCATGAGTTTGAAAAGCATGTGCATGATATTCGAGAATTGTACCATTTTCGGTTTGCTCTGCCGAACACGACTCTACCACGGTACCACCGTCGTTTTGTTGCTTGAACTTAGGTACTTTTGTTTGTTTGTTTGTTTTGTTTTTGTTTTTGTTTTTTAAGTCAAGTTACTTAAATAATATATAAAGAAAAACAATTGTTTACCAGTTTTGGAAAACAATCATGAGCTTGAAAGCATGTGCATGATATTCGAGAATTGTACCATTTTCGGTTTGCTCTGCCGAACACGACACTACCACGGTACCACCGCCGTTTTGTTGCTTGAACTTAGGTGCTTTTGTTTTATTTTGTTTTGTTTTTTTTTTTTTTTTTGGTTTTTAAGTCAAGTTACTTAAATAATATATAAAGAAAAAAACAATTGTTTCCCAATTTTGGAAAACAATCATGAGCTTGAAAAGCATGTGCATGATATTCGAGAATTGTACCATTTTTGGTTTGCTCTGCCGAACACGACTCTACCACGGTACCATCGTCTTTTTGTTGCTTGAACTTAGCTGCTTTTGTTTTGTTTTGTTTTGTTTTTATTTTTTTGTTTTTAAGTCAAGTTACTTAAATAATATATAAAGAAAAAACGGAACTGCTGGAACATGAAAAATCCGACGGGTCATCGAACTGGCCTTAGATGTACTCGGGCCGGTTCTGGCCCAGTTTTTTAGGCCTGGCGACCCGCTGGGCTGGGCCGGGTCGTGAACTCGCCCCCTTTTGGCAACCCCTAGGTTGGAGGTTAAGATAAGTTTGCTCACTGAGGAGAGATCAATAATTTGTAATTGTAATTTTTAAGTTGATTTGGTTTGTATAGAAATTTTAGTCTTAACCAGACCTGCAGTATTTTGGAGTCAGTCATCACGAAAAGCCTAACAATGCGACTCTTCGTCACTAAACGGATTTCCGCCGCTCTCCGCTTATACGCCGCTGCAGTTCCCCGCCACAGTCCCAACATAAGTACTTGTGCTAGCCGCTTGCCCAAATTTCAGACGCCAGCTTACGCGTCCGGAGGAGGCCTGCTAGATTCCCCATGGTCCGCCACCCAGCTCCGCGGCGCGAGATTCTCCGGCGCCGATGTATGCCTCTCTAATTCAGCTATGAAAATTTACGATTTTATTTCGCCTTTAGTGATGGTTAAATGTGTATCAATTACTAGGCGATGCAATCGCTAATTTTCGAGTGATAGTGTTCACTTGGTAAAATTTTGGGGCACTCTCTTGTTATTTGTGAAGTTTTAATTTTTGTTGAAAATATCTGTGTAATAGTAGATGCTTGTGGTTATTAAACTGAGTTCTGATTACTGTGTGTAGTTACGAGTTTTGAATGTTTTCCTTTCTCTGTGTCCTCCTTAACTTGTTCATTGTTCTGTGTTATTCAAATAATGTATTAGTGTACCATGTGATGAAAATCTACCAGTTATAAGATAGTGTGTGCCTTAGATGTGTAAGACGGCTATAGGAAATATTTAAAAAGAATAAAGAGAAAAGATTTTGTTAATCGATCTGAAGTTAGCTCCAATGAAAATGTGATGGCTCATACCATTATAGAATCTTCCAAATGGAAGATCAATGTGACTGCAGCTATTTGTTTGACCATAATTATTGTCTACTTAGGGTTAATCTCATCCTATTTAGAAAACTTGACTAGTTTGTAAACATTCTGAGATTTTTTCCCCGTTGGTTGTCAACCTACAATAGTATAAATTCTCTTGAGCCATTGGATTCCTTGGTGGTCTCCTCTAGGCAACTTGTGACTTAAGGTTGTGGTATTTGTCATTTATTTAACTTTATGCAGGTACGGCCTGGAAATGTTATCGAAAGAAGAGGTTAGGTTTTTCATAATTCATGTATAGTGATAATATGAGAGTGATTATCCACATGCTAAGAGCTTACTCTGACATGGATCATGCGTTGCTGTTTACGCAATACAGGAAAGCTTTATGAGGTAATTATTTTTGCTGTGAATTTGTGCACTGACTGTTGTTTTCGTATGCTTTAATCGTGAAATTATTTTTGTCGCTCAATGTGTATATGGAATTTGTTTAGGTGGTAAAAGCAGACCACTCTACCCAAGGAAGAGGAGGAGCTATAATACAGGTATTTCTATAACATGTGATCATTTGATGCTGTTTAAAGCTTTCTTACTCTATTTTTTTTTTTTTGAAACAACATGTTTTTATAGATAAAAACACATAATTACAACTAGACAACAGTTAGAATAAGCCAAAGAACCATCTAGCTGAGCCTAGTATGAGGACATCCCACAGTCAGGAGCCTATAAATTACACTAACTCGCCCACGAAACAAACAAACTACAAAAGACCACAAGGGCATCAACAGACCATAAGGGCATCAACCGCTCCTACCCGACGAGAATGAACTACTGAACAACAAAAGCAACAAACACTAAACAAAACACTGACACACTAACACAGACACCACAATACTAACCCCCATACACACCACAACACTAGACATAATAGATTAACACTCTCCTCCCAGCTGGCAACAAACCGCAGCACATCATGGCCCGACACTTGGAGGTAGCCGCCCAAACGGATTGAACTCCGAATCGATCACCGCACCAACAATTCCAGTGTAGCCACAGCTAGCTGGTACCGCACCCGACGTCCAAAAATTTTCTCCAGATGGAACACCTTGACCGGAGACCGGAGGATGACTCCTCTGTCCCCAAACACCCAACTACGCCGCAAGCCCATCCGGCTGGAACCTCTGTCCGTCTCCGATCGAACCAAGACCGACCTTAAAACCAGGGAGACGGCAAGCGGGAAGAGAGGGGAACAAACCTCTGAGCAACTCCGAGGAGTCGGACAGGACCCCCATCTCGTCGCCTTTCAGTACCACCGGAACCCGCCCCTTGACATAGACAACCGGCGAGAGCGGTGAGGCTCTACGCAGGGGAAGGAGACGCAATACCTGGGGAGGGGGGCGAGATGAGCGTCCCGTGACGGACGGCGCCGAGAGGCTCGGAGAGGCTGGTTGGGAGGAGGTGGGAGGAGAAAGATCCGAGAGTTTTTACGCTAATTAGGGATTTGTTTAGATAGAATTTTTTTTTTGGGGTGATACAATTACCTTAAAGCTTTCTTACTCTAGTACTGATTTTTATCGTCGTTTTTTTTGTTATCTTCATGGTTTCTCTTTTTACTTCACAATCCATTTGTCCTTTTGGAGATGTGAACCCATTAAAGCAATGGTATTGCAATTAATTTTGCATGTTTTCTTATATTAGAGGAGGTACTCAGAGGAATATTTGTAATTGGGAAAGCTTGGAATTACTTTTGAATTAAATTTAAATTCAATTCTTCTAATCTGCTTGCCAAATACTGATAGGTGGAGCTGCGGGATGTCGATAGTGGAAGCAAAGTGAATGAAAGGCTGCGAACTGATGAGAAAGTAGAAAGTAAGTATTTTTTTAACATAATGAAAAAAGAAAAAAGTCTAGAAAGTATACGTACCATTTAATTATATCGTTTGTGAATTGAATTAATTTTGATGTGTAGATATGTGTCAAGAATAATGTTATAGGAAAAATATACTAAAATATGATACTATTTGTGATTTTTTAGCATTTGTTTTCCAATCTTCTTCGTCGTCATGGGAAGATTACTAGAATATATCTTACAAGTCTAGAGAATATTTTTTAACGTTTTCATCGTTATTTCATTCTTACAAATCTTTTACATTTAATTTTATTACTAATTTTTTAATTTAATTGTATGATTTAGTCTAGATAATACTTTTTACATTTTCAATTATCATTTTATTTTTACTTATTGTATAATTTAATTGTACTAGTAAATAACTATTTAAAGGTCAGATGTTGATATGGTGAGAGACAATTACTGGATAAAGATTTTTTTTTAGCTATAAAAGAATTAAATAGATCTATTTATGCTAAACACACATAAAGATTTAATAGGTCTCATATTGGTATAATTAATCTACTAGAGTTGTAGTTATTTTAGTAATTTGTATATTGTTTTGTGTTAAATGGCACTATAAAGTTTTGGAATATGTGAACAGGATTTCTAGCATTAAGTATTTAGTATTTAATGGATTCTTTATAGCGGTCAACTAACAATATTCCTAAACTCAGTATAACTCGGGCAAAACAAAGTTGACCATGTATTTTTTTCTTAATCATTTCTAAGTTCTAATTGATAAAAAATTCTCTTGTTCAATATAATTCTGTCAAATAAAGTTTACGTAACTTACGTCCAATTATAATGTGCTCCATATCATGTTTCATCATAATTTGAATTTTTATAAAATTTGTTTGACTGTTTGTCTGTGGCAATATGTTGTGCCAATAAATGATCAATACTTAAATGATTGTTGGGTAACTTGTATTGAATATAATGCCTTTCTACAAGTTTTTAATGAATTTCATTCATACCCTTTCTGAAAATTGAAGACATGTTGGGCCAGTATCAGTCGTAAATTCTTCAATGTGATACACACAATTATTGTTTATTGGTGTCCTCTGGGTTTCACATGTGTAAAAATTTGAAAATGTTTTGCCTGTATATTTCTTCTTCTTATGTTTTTGTCTTCGCCACTTCTATCAAACCCCCATGTTTGTACAACTGCTGAAGTTGCCTATGTAAATAATAAACGATTGATTTCTGAGAGTATGCCCAAAGGCCAAAGCAGCTTGCTGCTGGATCTTAGGGTCTATTATCAAAATACTAGTGATAGTATATGCAGTTGGGGCTGGGAGGTAGAGAAGTACGTTTCTGAATATTGATATATGTGACAAGCAGATTGACTTGAGGACTGTTTGGGGTATTCTTTGCTATATAAGTTATCTATTTGATCTTTTTGCTCGCCACTCCATCAGTAAATAGTAAATCACATGTGTCATAGTAAGTTAACTAAAATGGTAGTTGGATGCAGAGATATATGTTGAGGAGAAGTCACTGACATACTCTTACACTGACGATGAAACTGGAAATATTGTGCTTATGGAGTGAGTGCTGCCCTTTGCTTTTGATTCTTAAGTCGAGCATACTCCGATCTTACTTTGGTGACTCATGAAAAGGAAGGGACTTTGTTGATTTGTTCCGATCTATCATCATTTACAGGCCCGACACTTACAACCAGCTGGAAGTGCCTAGACACCTATTTGGTGATTCTCATGTCTACCTTCAAGGTAACATCCCCTTAAAATGCGGGCATTTCCTCTTATCCATTTTTTCTGTCATTTTTACCAACATAAAGAAAAAAACTGAAAATAAAAACTGTCTTACATGGAAAAGTAAAAATTGAGTGCATGTTTTCTTGTTTGAGACATTGCATGTTCTACATTTTAAAGTTTCCGAGATTCTTTGTGCCAATTGAATATGAAAGATCTAACTTTTTATTTATTTATTTTTATTTATTTTGTTTATAAATAACATGATATTAGAACAAAATAATATTCATTATTTCTAGTATGACTATTCCGCGCAGATGATATGGAAATCACAGTCCAGCTTTATAATGAAAGACCACTAGCAGCATCGATTCCACATCGAGTAACATGCACTGTTGTTGAAGCCGATGAGGCATTAAAGGGAAGCAGTAAATCCACGCCGTAAGTTCATTCAGTTGTTCGAAATGATTTGAACGAGGAGTTCACCTAATTTAGATGTACTAACTACATAGAACATTTGATGCTTGAATTGTATTGCCATTGTTTTTTTTTTTT